TGTTTAATTAGTTATTTGTTTTACTATTTTCTTGAATCAAAACCAAAGAATTGGAATGAAAAGAGCCATAGAATGACATGGTAGAAGGATATGAGAATTCCGAGGATGATCAAAGTGATGCTTGAACTTCTAGTACCCAAGAAACCCTGAATTCGTTCTATGCTTATCTTCTTTTCATGACTAATATGGCTATCATAACAGAGTGTCAAGATAGAAGAATCTGAAAATTCTGAAGACAGTGGCGCAATTTGGTTATAACAATTCGAAAAAGGATAGTCAGCCATGGCTATTATGGAGTACTGTTTGGCGTAAACAAGTTCTCCTGTGAACTGACAGTTACCAGGACAGTGGTGCAACAAAAGTTCGTTTACACAGCATGTTTTTATCCAAATTAGTTTATTGATTCTTTAACTATTTATCTATGAGTCTTTTATGGGCAAAATCAGTATGAGATTATGTAGATCATTTTACAAAATTCATTTGCATCATTTGCCTTTTTGTTCATTTACATGGTAGGACTTCCTTTTACAGGGAGTTATTGCTGTTTTTTTTCATGTTTATATGTACTGCTGTTATAGCAACTCCTCCGTTTCAAGAAGATGATTGCCCACTGACTTTAGCAGATATCATTTGAAATACATTATTGACCAAGAATTTCAAAGATTGGTGACAAAGGTGATGGCTTTTTAGGACATGGAACCCAAGTTATTGTTCAAGTACAACAGCTTTTATTTACAGTAGATCTCAATTTGAATACTTCCATTGCTCCTGAAATGAAACACTCAACATCTGAAACTTGAATATCTACCAAAGCTGGAAAGCTTCTGCTCATCAGGGAATTATAACTTTGGATTCCCGAAGATATTCTCTCCAATGTCAACAAACGAGTCTCATAAAAGGACAATAGATATGATGAGTTAATCCAAGCATTATATCAAGAGGCAGAGAGCAAACTTCTAAAACTAACTTTAGGGAAATTTGCAAAAAGATCTTTGAATTGACGCAATATTACAAATACAAACTCAATAACAGATTAAACAAAAACAAAGGCAGAAGTGACTTTATGAGATAAATTTTAACTTCAATTGGAAGGGAGCCGCGCGTACGCTGGCCCCCACTGCCACAAATTATGACGTAGGCTCTCCCACTTTGGGGAGACCTTAGGCGAGCACCCCTCCTAAGTGCAGTGGAGGTCACTAACCTAGGCCATGGACCTTGTTGATCGTCCATTGACCCCGTCCAGGTAAGTATGTTATATTGTTGCTAGTTGCCTCTTATTTATGGAGGCTCGCTCGTGCTCCTTACTCTTCCTTGGTCAATGTGGGATTAGTGCCTTGTCATAAATAGTCATGTATATGAATTTTTCCTGCTGGCTGGTGAGACTGAATGGAGCCACGGTGGTTTTACAAAGAATATATTGAACACTAAATAGATTATAATCTGTTTCATTATTTCTTTATCTTGCTGATAAAAATGTTTGTAAATAATACATGAATTCGCTGTTCAATGTCCATGGCAACGACCAAGCATAGCTTGCCTTGAACACGAATGGTCAGAGAATGTTGAGACTTTAGGCAATTTGCTTCAGTCCTCTTTTGCTTTTAGCCAACTAATCCAAGACAGTATTTCACGATCACCAACATAAAATTCCAAGGAATAATCTTGGAGAGTTCCAAGAAGCTGCTTCTTGTTTCTCAGCTCAGATTACATTAACCCCTTTGAACACTTTTGCTTCAAAAATAATGTGTTGAAAAACCTCTAAGCTTAATATTTGTGCAGTAAGTTGAGAAAGAAATGGAGGAGAATTTCACTGCCAAAGATGTCACTGAAGTAAGCTGTTTCTCATCTTCCTTAATGGATTTTTATTGGTGTTTAAGAAAACAATTCATAGCATTGATATTATTGAGTCCATAGCTGACCATTGCTGTTGGAAACATGAGTTAAGTAAATAAATATGAATCTAGAGAATACATATCTTGCATTTAAATTGCAACTACACATTGGAACCATTGAAAGTTGTGAGGCATCTGAATTGGCTGTGGTAATTAATTAGTAAGTCCGATTTTCATATTCATCTGTGTTGCCTATTGCATAATTACGAGGAAAATATGGTTCAAGCTATTGGAATATGTCTTCAACTTCTTGAAAACAATTGATCTTCTTTCAGTGTTTGGAAGTAAGTTGTTCTATAGGTCAAGAGTTTTCGATTAGCAGCCCCCCTCTCATGATGTTAGTCGCAGTATGAATAATTCAGAGTATGTTGTTTTTGTGGATTTCTGCTTTACTAAAACCATTTTGTTAAATTCTCTCATATGAGGTGCGTCTATGATCCTGTCTGGAAGTAGGAAAGGAGGTAATTTCGTGGGACAAAGTAGAAAAGTGAATGCAAATGTGGTTAGTGGCCTTTATGTTTCATTTTGCTTCAGCAGCAACGGATTGTTATTTCTAGAACTGAGATTCTCCATCAGTGCTTGCCACCCTCTTGCGTTCTTAACCGCGATATTTCATTACTTATTCTGTAAAATACATCAGTAAAAAAGAATGATCCAGTTGAAAAATCTGAAAATGGTTTCGTTGGTGGTCAATTCCATGAATACAAGAGGAATCTCCTAGGTCATAATGGTTTCATTGCATAGCTCAAAATATATGCAGATAGTAGTGAGCTTTTAAAGCAAATTTGTCTCTCATTTGGATTGAGCTGTAATCAGAATTTTTGAGCATGGGGCCGGCCATGGCCTATGCCTGCATCTTCCCTGGCTGAAAGTGCAGTACTTTCAAGAGGAAAACCCGGTAAGTTTCATCATATATATGTTTTCACATTGATCTTCATACTACCATTACCTTTTAGTCTCAAAGATCTTGTAGATTATACACACACACACACACACATATATGGTTTATCTAATGATGAACATCTTGCATATGTGAACGTGGAAGGTTCACATGAGATTGAAAGAATTGGTGGAGGCTTCATCCCTGCGACTTTGAGTGTGGATTTACTCAATGAAGTTACCCAACTAAGTCTCAAAGCTATTTGGTCATTCAGGTCACATTTCTAATCAGAGTGGGACGTGAATAGTATTATATGTTGAGTGTTTGACGTATACAATGCATATATCAAGTTGAAGGTTATTGAAACACCACGACAACTTGCTCTGGAAGAAGGATCGTTGGTAAGTTCTCTTACAGCTTGATCAGTGTCTGAATTTTAAATAAATTTGTTTAACTTGACAGGAAGTTTTGGATGAAACGCGTAAATCCTTTTTCAACTCATTTTGTTAAGCCAATTCAGCACACGTCTCTCAACAACAAACCATTTTCAATAAACAAGAACCATCAGGAATTTGTTTCGCTTTTTGCTATTAATTGATTAGTTTTGCTTTTCAAAGTCGATAACATAACAGAACTTGTAAATTTTCCTTCTTCCGGGTAATTATAGTTGTTATTTTAACTTTAACCGCTAGTGCATATGTTTTGGGTAGTTGTGTTAATCTTGAAATTAGTAGCGGATCCAGAAATATTTTTAAAAGTGTGTACATGTATATTAATAATATAAAACTTTAATATTTTAGGTCGGCACAAATAAAATTTCAAAGTAGATACAACCTATTAGGGTGTGTATAAAGCTTGAGTGTAGCTTTCGCTAGTTGATTACTTCTAGAATTATTCTATATTTTGTTAAGTTGTTAGCAAGCTGTTAATAGCTGATAGAAGAGGTTGTTGCATGGAATTTGTATAAATCCTCTTCTTTGTTAATAGAACGTACTGCTTTATTGTTAAGAAATTTAATTATTGTTAAGAAATTTAAATACTAAATTAGACACTTGCCCACCCTGAATACCATATGCATAAGTTGTTAACAGTGTTTAAAGTTCGGTTTTAATCGAATTAATCAATCGAATCAAAAAAATTTCGGTTAATTAGTCGGTTAATTTTTGGTTTGTTCGGTTAATGGTTAATGATTTTTTTCAAAGTTCGGTCATCAATTAATTTGGTTTGAAATTTGTTAATTAATTGAAATTATTATATATTTAATATATTATTCATATATTACTTAGCATTAGGAATGTTTAAACTTTGGTTTTAACCGAATTAACCTACCGAACTAATCAAATTAACTAAAAATATTTAATATATAATATATATTAATTATAAATTTTGGTTAATTTGATTTATTGACCGATTAATCAAACTTTGTTCAGTTCAGTTAAAAAAAATTTAAAAAAATATAATTAATTAAGGGTTAAAAGAAAAAAAATTGATTAATGAACTTTAAAAAATTCTATTTGATCGGTTAACTGAACCAACTGATCGAACACCACTATACGCCACGCTTGAAACGATTAAATTCTGGTTGCATCGAAATTTCACAAGGGTAGTGGATTACCATATTATACTCTCAGTTTTATTCTTTGACAACATTCTTGAGGAATAATTGTTTGAAACACTTGTTACGAATTTACATATTACTTAAAAAACAATTATAAAATATACTTGTAATGTTTGATAAAAATAATCGATTTCGTTTTTATTTTTATTTCTGAAGTATACCACCTCAAATGTTTAATTTTAGGTCAAAAGTGTTTATCTGTAGATGAAAATCGTTAATTGATCAACAGTTAACACATCTTATTGACTATGCAAATCGAAGTGGATGAAGATGTTAATGACGTGTCCACGTGAACTAGAATAATAATATAGCAAGTTACCACGTTAATAAAAACATTTAAAAAATACTGTTTTGTTATATTAATTACAACCAATGGATGATAATGTTTGACATTTGATTGGTTGTAAATTAAAAATTGAAAAAATATATGTTTTTGGTAGGAATCAAACCAGGTGCATGAAATGGGGTGATAATCTCTTTGCCACAAGGCTAAGGCACATTTATATTTAGGGAAGGTATTCTATTTATCTCTATGTAAAACAACTCGAACAAATGTGATCCAGACCTAAAGTAATCCAACCCAAACAAACTTAGACATCTCTACTCTGGACTAGAGGAGAGCCAACGCAGGCTCCCACTGCCACAAATAATGATGTGGGCTCTCCCAGGCGGGGAGACCTTAGGTAAACACCTCTCTCAAATTTAATGAAGATGGCTAACATAAGCCATGGATCTTATTGATCATCCGTCCACCCTACTCAGGTAAGTATGGTGTAATGGAACTATGTGCCTCTTATTTATTAACTCCAGCTCCTCGTCCCGATTGAGCTTCATCCTGATTCCCCACTTCCCAAATAGTATGGTGTAATGGAGCTATGTGCCTCTTATTTATTAACACACCAAATTTAAGAGGTTCAACGAAAATATCATCTACTCTTCGGGCACCACCAACGGATGATAACTTCACTATCGATAAAATATTACAACAAATGGAATTTCATAGAATTCCCAAAATATTACAAAGTGGGAGAAAACAAATGGGAGAGACAACTTGTTAGGATGATTTCAAGTGAAAGTGCTTAGGCCTATTTATATTTGAGTTTCAAGGACCAAACTTGCAAACAACCTAATAGGTTAGGGACCAAAGGATAATTTTCCAATGTACACAAGTTATCAACTTGCCAATTTGTTAACTTGCAAATACTTGGTGTCCATCTAAGACACTTGTCAACTTGTATCAACTTGTCAACTTGTGTAGCAAAATCAAACTTGAATTCTTTAGTGATATTAAATTCGAATTCGAATTCTTTGACTACCACTTGGACTTTACCCAACTTGTAGCTCGTAAATTTATAGTTCCTAAGGTTGAATCCTAACAAATGCAACAAAAGATAAATTCCATAATTGTTCAAATTAAATCCCCTAATAAAGGAAATCCTGAAGTTTAAGTATGATTTGTGCTGAGTGTTATGTCCTCACTGAATTGTCAGTTGGACATTCTAGAATATGCTGACTCGTCGCCACATCACCAGTTATACCCTAAATCATGCCCACTAATCTAGCCATGATTTTAGAAAAACAAAAAAGTTGTAGAATTTCGTCTTTTTAGTTTAGTTTCCGGAATTTAATGTATTGCATGAAAAATAAGAGAAAACACTCAACTTCGCAATATAAACCGACAAATCCAGGAGTAATTAATAAAAAATTAATAACGAAATTGAGCATGCATTGGGCAGATTGCTTCAATCCTCACTTGCTTTAGTTGTGCAATACAGTATTTCATAGGAGTAGATATTGACAAGGCACAATCAGCTCAGTTCATCCATTTAGCTTAAAAAAAACACGGCCTTTCTTTGAAAATTTTGTAAGCTTAATATTTAGCTGTTTTCATTTCCCCCCCTTCTCATTAATGGATAAAACAATTGCCGACATTGAACATGTTATTGGATTTGAAATGAACAGTTGACTGGTAAAACACATTAGTATATATAAATAAAGTTGTAGATGGATGAATGGCTCGAATTGCAGCAAAGTTGGATTCAATGGAAGCCTGCTCCAGTGTCAAGGACAGGAATTATCAGAAATTATGTCACATAACATTTGATCATCTTTAGCTTTTGCAAAACTAGAGCTTATAATCTCTAGTATTGCAGGCTTGCGTATAGTATGATTACATATGCAAAAGAGAAGGGTATTATAAAACCGGGTGAGGTAACGGCATTTTCAAGTTATTTTTTTGTTTCATTCTTCCTTAATGAAGACCATTCTGATCGAGCTAACGAGTGTTAATACCGGGACCGGATTAACGTTCTCCTATCTCCGAAAAGGAACAAAAATGAAGAAATCATACGAATACTCTTTGATTAAACATGAAAGTGTAATTCGTTTATGATGAGATAATAACATGGAGAAAGTGTTTTATTTTAATCTCTCATGTTATATCATTATCTAATATGCATCACTTCTTTTCATACAGAGTTTTCAAGAAGGTTGATGGTATGTTTGATTGCACAAGTAAGTTGAGAAGCAATGTAGCCATGTAGGTAAGGAATATGATCCAGAGCTCTGCATGGGGAAGAGGAAAAGAATGTTCCAATCAGTTTCCCCTACTATTTAGCATGAAAGAAGAGATGATGGATTCCTCAATCCTTGTGGATAATACTCCATCTCTCTCTAGTCTTTTTTAATTAAGTCCCTAATTTATGTCCAAAAAGTTCGAATGAAATTTTTCAGGTTGAGTCCACGGAAAACCCGACGGTTTCCATCTCAACATGGGAATGATTATGATGAAATCAGTTTCCCCAACGTTCTGAAACTCGAATGTCTACCAAAGATGAAAAGCTTATGGCTCATCAGGGAATTATACCTTTGGATTCCCATCCCTTGCAAACTGTACTTGTGGAAGACTGCACAAATATGAAGATGTTCTCCAGTGTCAACGAACGAGCCTCGTAAACAGCCAAATGAGACACAATATTACAAATACAAACTCAATAACAGATTAAACAAAAACAAAGGCAGAAGTGACTTTATGAGATAAATTTTAGCTTCAATTGGAAGGTGGCCGCGCGAACGCAGGCCCCCACTGCCACAAATTATGACGTAGGCTCTCCCACTTTGGGGAGACCTTAGGAGAGCACCCCTCCTAAGTGCAATGGAGGTCACTAACCTAGGCCATGGACCTTGTTGATCGCCCATTGACCCCGTCCAGGTAAGTACGTTGAAATGTAGCTAGTTGGCTCTTATTTATCAAGGCTCGATCGTGCTCCCTACTCTTTCTTGGACAATGTGGGATTAGTGCTTTGTCATAAATAGAGTATATGAATTGACTGAAAGAAGCCACGGCAGATTTACAAAGAATATATAAAAGTCTAAATAGATTAGAATCTGTTTCCTTGTTTCTTTGTCTGACTGATTGAAAATGGTTGTAAACCAGACATGGACTCGATTTCGAATGGTCATAAACTATGTGAGATATCAGAGTCTGCACAAGCTTTCCTCATGGCTGCCATGAACGGATCTATAAAATCCAAGGAATTATCTGTGAGAGTTTCAAGAAGCTTTTCTTGTTTCTCAGCCCAGATAAGATTAATCCCTTTTCAACATCTTTGCTTCAAAGATTATACGTTGAAAAGCTTAATATTTTGTGCTGCAAGTTGAGAAAGAAACGGAGGAGAAGAATTGCATTGCCAAAGATGTCACGGAAGTAAGCTGTTTTCATCTTGTTTAATGGATTTTATTGGTGTTTAAGAGAACATTTGATAACATTGATAATCTTGTTGGTTTCGAAATGAACAGTTGATTGGTAAAACACATGTAGTGTAAAGCTTCAAAAGTGTTGCAACTTGAGTCAGACATTTGCAATGGCCTATATGAAGGGATTGAAATGTTGATAAAGACAGCTGAAGGGGGATTGAAAGGTGCCAAGGATCTTCTTTTTATGTTAGATACGAAGGGTTTTCCACATCTCAAGTATCTTGCTGTTGTAGAGTCCTCGGAGATTAAATGGATCATTAACTCCATGTCCATGGGGTTGGCTCCAAGTAAAGCATTCCTGAAAACCGTAACAGTCGGTGATTGTAATAGATTGAAGAATTTGTTTCAGTTCTCCATAGACAGAAATCTGAACCAACTGCAACAAATTTCCGTAAGGGATAGTAGTAACATCACAGAGATTGTTGCAGGAGAATGACATCCTAGAGTTTTGTTAACAAACAAATGGGAATTATGCACAGGGATGAATCGAGGGGTGTGGTCGCAGCCGCTAGAATTTTCAAATTCCCTTATATTTTAGATTTTATCTTTATATACTCTATTGATTATCTAATTTCGCACCTCCTAAAATTTTTAATATAACTTCTTAAGTTTACACCCTGACATAAATTTTTACGTTCGTCCCTGATTATGCAGGTTGCGTGTCCAAAGATGCATAAATTGACTTTTGGATGGAGTGTTGGACTTAAGATGTTCTATGGAGGACACTCAAACACCCCAATGTTGCTTAAAGTTACACCAAATGAGTGCAAAAATGAAGGGTGTTGGGAAGGCAGCCTTAATGACAGCATACAAGAGCTCTTCCAAGAAAAATTAGGATTAAATTCAGGGAGGAGGTTAATGGATATGAAAGAATAATACTGAAGAGATAGTTGCATTTGTTCGTCAAGGAGGATGTTGTTATACATATTATTTAGAATTTAGACTGTATTCATTGTTCACATTAGATTTAAGTTGTCAACTATGAATGTAGAAGATAATATAATAAATTGTACTCTTCCCGTTCCATTTATATTGTCTATTATTGACTTTTCAAGTAGTTTTAAAAAAAGAAAAAGTTTGTATAAGAGATATATTGTAAAAAAATTAAAATAATAATTTTATCCAAAAAAAAGTTAAATTTTTTTTTTGAGATACTAAAAAAATGGTAGAAAGAGAAATGTATATAGTAAAAGTTGTTGATTTTTTCAAAGAAACAATTTAAATGATACAATTTTAAAACGTAAAAGGGACCATTTTAAGGATGACAGAAACATGTTCACCTAAGTTTACCTTTCATTCTCAGTAAGTTTTCTTTTATTTGTGAAGAGATCCTTTAAGAATATGGCATACATTGACACTTTTCAGATCACCTAAAAGAGAGGTATGTTTATCTCCACTTTTCGAAAAGTATCAAGAATATATTTCTCCTCGGCTTGCTTATCACGTTTAACCAATCTCAACGAGAAAAGAGGTGGAGTGGCATAGGGAAATGGCATGGGAGGTGTTTGCGATCCATCTTCTTTCTTTCTATGGGATTTTGTGGAAAATTTCTTTGGGACTATAGGTATCATAACAGTGCCACTTCGAAGGGTGATGACACTAACGTTTTCCTTTGGGTTCGACCCGATTTACGAAGGTAGCTTTCTTTGGGACTCCAATTGACTTACAACTTATGTTAGTTGACTCATTTGTTTGTCAAGCTCTTTAAAGTGAGCTTCAGTCTTGATCTGAATTTTCTCTTGGGATAATGCCAAATGTTCTACAATCATCTCCAAAAACAATTTTTACGGTTGATAATGCTAGGTGGAGGTGGCCTTGATTGATATGCTTGATTCGATCTCAGATTCTATCCATAGATAAAATTCGAATAATCTCTCATCCCTAGATTATAAGTGTTGGCATAAGGATTGTAAGTTTTCTAGGGAGGTATCATAAAATTTCATATTGTATTTACTTGTGTGTAGCATTTTTCTTTAACATCAAACAATAATTTGTGGGATGATCTGGCATTATG